CCTAGACAACAAGTTCCAGAGTCTCTTCTGACATCCATTTTGATATTTTCCTTCTTTCTTGTCTTGTTAATGACCTTTTGTTGTCTTCCTGTATGATGTTCTTGATGTCATCCCATACTTCGGGTCTTTGGTCATGAGCATCTAATTCATCAAATCTGTTCTTCAGATGATCTCTAAATTCAGACCCACCTAATATTTTCAAGGTCACATTTTGGCTTTCGTGGACTTGTTCTCATTTCTTCAGCTTCAGCCTGAACTTGCATCAAGCAATGGATGGTCTGTTCCACAGTCTGTCCCTCTCCTTGTTTTGGCTGATGATATGGAAGCTTTCCCATTATCTTTACAACATGATTTCTTTGTATATTTGTCAGTTCGTCAGACTGTGGTACTTGCATGTTGCTCTGATTCTGAAAAGTATGCCACCAGTATTTTAAATACCAACAGGGTCACCCATGGTGAACAGGTGTTATGCTGAGTTTCCAAACTAAGAAGAAGGGGAGATGGACTACTCTTGAATGTTTAGCTACTGAAAATCTTGGGATAGCAGTGGAACACTGTCAGATAGCAGCAGAATATTGTCCCATCTTGAGCATGAGGTTGCTGAAATTGCGGTACTGGTGGCCAGAGGGAATGTCAAAGTAGCAGTACACTAGGAAAGTCGATGGTCTATGGAAGCCTCAGTGGCTGCACTTGTTGTTAAGTGCTGTCAAGTCAGTTCCGACTCACGGAGACCCTGTATAGGGTTTCCGAGGAGTGGCTGGTGAACTTGAACTGCCGACTTTGAGATTCAAACTGATCTGCAGTCTACTGCATTAACCTACAATGCCATACCAGGCTGCAGTTGGGACCATGGAAACATTTAACCTATAACATGAAGGGTCTTCTTCCTTTTAACATTTGGTAAACTCACTTTGTAAGTGTAAATATGCCATCTCTCTCACTGTCACCTTCCCATGAACCTCATTCACATTCAGCCAAACCTATTACCGCTGCTCAGCTGTAGCCAGTTGCATGGAGGTCTACATGATTAAGTGTGCATTTTGACAAAGTCGTTATTTTGGGAAGAGAGGTTTAATTTGTGTGAATAATACTAATTGAGCTACAACTACATGCTGTGCTTTTAGCTAGGGCAGGTGCTGCCTTTAGCTCTGCTCCTGATAGTAACTCTACTCTGTCACCTTTGTCACCATAATGTGTGTGGACATTTAGATAAGTTACGTGAAGGCGTGTAGAGAGCTACAACCATATTTTAAGATAAATCAAACAATCCATTCCAGTTCTTAGAAAATTTAATTTGAAATAACTTAAAATATTTCATCATTGATTTTTAATTTAGTGTCATAGCTACAGAGGTTTTGAATTTGGTCTCAAGTTATCTCAAGTGAACAAAAACAACAACATATACATGTGTATATATTTATCTGATATATGCATATGTATATATATAATTTAAATATATGTTGTTGTTGTTGTTAAGTGCCGTTGAGTCGGTTCTGACCCATAGTGACCCTGAACAGGGTTTCCGAGGCTGTAAATCTTCACGGGAGCAGAAAGCCTCATCTTGCTGTTGTTAAGTGTCATCAAATCGCTTCCAAGTCATAGTGATCTTGTATAGGGTTTCCAAAGAGCTGCTGGTGGGTTTGAACTGCTGACCTTGCAGTTAGAAACTCAGTGCTTATCCTACAGTGCCACATCATATAGATACACATATAGACACATATTTACACATATATATATATATATATATATATATACATATACACACACTCACATGCATACTATATCTCTTTCTTTCATTCTAAAATGCATAATGTGCCCTCATTCAGCTTTCTAACTTTACTCATGGCATACATTTTAGAAAAATTACCTTCAAAAGTGGCACATTAATCATATTTGGAACAGATCTGTACTTTCCCATTTTTAACTGTGCTACTTTTCTTCAAGGTTGTCCATTCACATATGAAATTTGTTTTTGTTGAATATGAACCTGAATGTGCATTTGGGCCTGTCTCTTGTCTTCAGACAGAGAGACAAACTAAAGCCACCATGAGAAAGAGACTAGATTCTTTGCTGTTTGCTTTAAAAGTTTCATTTTATATTATTTGAGTACAATTATCTATTTCATGAGTGATTTTCTTAAAAGAATATTTTCATTAGCTATAGGAGTCCTGGTGTGGCACTGTGGGTTAATGTGCCAGACTGAAAAGCCATTTGAACTGCAAGGTCAGCAGCTGAAGCTCACCAGCTGCTCCTCAGAAACCCTATACAGGGTAGCAACCGACTTGATGGCACTTAACAACAATAGGAGTCCTGGCATGGTGCTGTGGGTTACTGTGCTGGACTGCAAAGTTACTTTGAACAGCAAGGTTCAAGCTCACCAGCTGCTCCTAGGAAACCCTATACAGGATTGCTGTGGGTTGGAACCGACTTGATGGCACTTAACAACAATGTAGGCACAGGTGGAGTCCTTGTGTGGTGCCATAGGATAAGCACTCGACCTCAAGGTCAGTTTAAACTACAAGAGTGGTGCTTCAAACTCACCACCACTCCTCAGAAACTCTATACATGATCCCTATGAGTCAGAAGTGACTTGATGGCACTTAACAATAACATAGGCACAATAACATGCATTATTGATTTTTTAACTACCTAATCTGATGGGTTTTTCCTAGAAAAACTTCTCCAAAGTCAGTAGGAGTGGCAAGTATGGCAGAAGGAGAAATACGGCTCTCTGGGATGAGATGAGACTGAGTCTGTTTCAAGCAGTTAATCTTTTCAGCAAAGGCTTTATAAGACATTCTTGGGAATGTGGTATTTTCCTTTAGTGCACACCCCAAAACTTGTTTTCTCTTACAGTAACATGCTGACTTGGGTTTTCCAAGTCCTACATACTTTCCCTTTCTCCTGCAGAATAGCTGGTAGTTTCGAACTGCTGACCTGAGGTTAGCAGCCCAATTCATAACCACTACACTACCAGAGAACCCTGCGTAGGGTCGCTATGAGTTGGAACTGATTTCATGGCACATAACAACAACAACAACAACATATTTTCACTTTGGTGTGGCATTTAAAAATGCAATTAAACCCCTCTAGAAAATTCCAAAAACCAAAACCCAGACATCCATGATTTACTAAATGTACCAAGTTGTTAGGAGCTCTAGTGACACAGTGATTAAATGCTCAGCTGCTAACTGAAATGGTGGTTCGAACCCACCCAATGGTTCAGCAGGAGAAAAGACCAAGCATTCTGCTCCTAAAAGATTACAACATAGGAAACCATAGATAACAACAAAGTTGTTAAAAGTTACTGATCAATATACTAATTTACATCCTAAATTTGGGTTTGTTGTTAGTTGCCAAGTCAATTCCAACTCATGGAGACCCCCATGTGTGCAGAATACAATGGTGCCCTACAGGGTTTGCACAGCTGTGACCTTTCAAAAGGAGATCACTAGGTCTGTCTTCCAAGAAGCTTCCAGGTGGACCCCTCCAGCTAGTAGTCAAATGCTGAATCATTTACACCACCCAGAGACTCCAGATTTGGGTTTATATACTTGAAATCCATCATTAAAACCATAAAAGAACCTGAAAATGTTATTTTCACAAGGGATTTGTACAGAAATTTGTACAACACTTGATGTTGTATGTGTATGTATAAGCTTTTTTGTTTTCTTAGTTTATCCCTGCTGTGTGCATGCACATAACTGTAAGAAGATGCATGTCTGTTACTCTTTGGTGATTTTTTTGGTTTGGCCAAAAATTTTAATGAGATAATATTTGAATGATGTAGGATTTTGTTTTATTTAAGTGGGGAAAACTAATTTTTAATCTAGGGAAAAGAGTGAATAAATAAGGAGTATACAAAAAATGAGGAAAAAATATAAACTCAAGTCATGAGGTATTTCAAAGATACAGTGCCAGTAAAGATTCCCTTTTCCACAATTTGCACCTGCCAGGCCTCTAACACTGAGGAGTTTGTTGTAAAAGCCACTTTGAGGATGTGAGGGTTGTAGACTTCAGAACAGAGTCAGAAAAAGAAAGTAGTAAAGCAATATTTACATGTCTTTGTCTAGAACAAAAATATTTCTTCAAATAGTTGTAAATTTTTTTTTCTTTTTTTAAGTCCTAAAAACACTCACTTATGTAGGGCACATGATTGTCTATGTGATTACTCTTTCCAGAGAGAGTTTCTTTTTATCTTTAGATACTAGGAAAACATGACTTATTCACATTAGATTTTCCATGCTATACTTAGTTTTTACAGATGTATTTAGTTCTAAGGCTATGTTTACTATATTCCGGAGATAACATGTATATGAAATAAAAAGCCCAGGAAACGCTTGCACCCAACTTGTTGTTAAGTGCTATCGAATTGGCTCCAACTCTTAGTGACACTGTATATGGTTTCTGAGGAGCAGCTGGTGGGTTTGAACTACTCACCTTGTGATTAGCAGTCCAGTGCTTATCCTACAGCACCAGGACTCCCAACTTAGAAAGTTAATAATTTAACATTCCATTGTGATCTCTCAATTCCTGTAGCTTATTGGTGCCGTTAAGATAGAAATCCCTGAATTCTTGGTATCCAACTTTCTAGAGTTTGAGAAAGTGATCACTCATGTTTTTCTGAGCAGTCAAGTTTTGAATAAACATTCAAAACAGACCTTTTGTTTTTTTTTTTCTTTCTGGGTGTTGAATAGGTTGTTTCTCTTACATAGCAAAAAGTCAGGAATTCCTAGCAAACAACTCTCATTATATACAATGCATATACCAGAAAACACGCAGCACCCACATGAATGTGCTCTCACTCAACACACACAAGCATAATTCACACAAGGGGTAAACCGTAACGAGTCCTACATACATACATGTGCAAATGTATAATTGACAACAAATTATTTTTAGGTCTTAAAGTCCTTTGAATATTAAAAATGAGCCAGAAGGCAGCTCCTGTGACATTTAGTATGAAAGCTTCAGATCATAATTTTCATGAAGAAGTAGCTTCATATTACATCTCGTGAGTTTCGTATAGCACAGCAAAGCACCATGCTGAATATCATGCCAAAGATCTGAAACAGAAGGAACCATATATTAGTGACTTTCAAAATGTGTCAGAAAACTGCCTAGTTGTCTAACTCAAGTTAGCCAACAATCACTGGTTATAAACGCCATTCTAATATATGCTCCTTAAAAAAATGGTTACTGGTTAAAGATTTCCACATTTACTGTTTAAAATACACTACTATGTTATTATTGGAGTTCTGATGTGGCACTGAAGGATAATACACTGGACCACAAGATCAGCTTCAGCTGCAAGGTCGGCAGTTCAAACCCACCAGCCACTCCTTGGAAACCCGATACAGGGTCTCTAAGACTCTGAACTGACTGGAAGGCACTTACCAGCAACAACAACCTTATCATTATTAACACATAATAAGGACTCTGCTTGAAGGAAAGGGCCTGTTTGAAGCTTAAAGAAGTTGTTGCTGTCAAGTGTTGTGGAGATGATTCTGACTCATAGAGACCCTGTATAGGGTTTCCGAGGAGTGGCTGGTGGATTTGAACCACTGGCCTTGTGGTTAGCAGTCTTGTCTTTATCCTACAGCACCACACTCCTTATATTAGAGACTTCAAAATTAAACTCTTAAAGAAGAGTTCTTAATAATTGTAAAATAGACAGATACACTACTGCCTCTGTGATTTTATATTTTGGATAAATCTCAGATCTTGGACTTCTTTTATATATATTTGAAAGTATGGTGTCTAAATACCCTTGTGTTCTAAATAGCTTCCTATTGTTGGAAAAGTTATGAACTTTTGTTACAATGGCCAAATAATTGAAAAGTGGAACCTTTCTTCATTTTGGGTCCATTTCTTCTGCAGAATTTTTTTCCTGGTCCATTTCTAGTCAAATATTGTTTTACTGTATAACCCAACAGTTTTGTCAAAGCATAAACAGGGATATCTGAACTACAGGATTACCGATTTCTCCCTTTTGGATAGTTCTTTGAAAAGCCAAAAACTTGAGCAAAATAAATAGCACTTATATAGTTAGGATAGGATTCCAAAAGACCTTTCTTATCCTTGACCATTTTCCCTACAATTTTTCAGGACCTGTGGAATTCTATCTGTGGGTGTACAGTGTTCAAAAACTGCTATTGATGATCTTTAAAAATTACTACTGTAACTTTCTGATTCTTCTCCTCAATCCCATCTTAAATCAGACTAAGAACTGTGGATGCTAAATTCAAAATCACATGAATTCTCTTTCTGTGTGTGTGTCTGTGTATGTAGGGAAGGGGGTTTATGGTAACTGAACATGATTTCAAGCTTCTGGCTGACAGAATTCAGAAGCAGTGTGTTGTAGGGGAGACACCTAATGGACATTTGGTTAACTGATCATGAAACTCTTAGTTATAAAGAAAAGCTATTTAATGCTTTGTTCTTTAATGAACAAACTGTAGGGATGTTTTCAGATGGCCAACAGAAGGCATTTCCGGTTGGTTGCAAGGCTGGATGCAGCCCCCACCTCATTCTGGTTGAACTCTGAGAGCCTGCCCTCAAAAGAAACCTTTCTTTGCCTCAGTCTTCCACTGTCATGACTCAGTAGTGGCCATTGCTAGGATGCTCATTCACTGAGATTAGGGAATTGTTTGTTGTTTGCGGCCATCTCGTCAGTTGTGACTCACAGTGACCCTGGGTATAACAGAATAAAACACTGCCCAGTTCTGCGCCATCTTCACAATTGTTGCTGTGTATGGAGCAGAGAATTACTTGACATGGCTTTTCTAGCCACAGTCTTTATAATTCCCATTGAACAACGGGTTGTTGTTGTTGTTAAATGTCATCGAGTCAGTTCCAACTCAGAGCGACCTTATGCACAACAGTCAGAATTACTGCTCGGTCCTGTATCATCCTTACAATTGTTATATTTGAGCCCACTGATGCTGCCACTGTGTCAGTCTAACTTGCTGAGGGTCTTCCTCTTTTTTGCTGACGCTCCACTTTATCAAGTATGATGTACTTCTCCAGGGACTAGTCCTTTCTGGAATGTCCAAAATACGAGTGTGGTGCAGTGGATTATTTACTGTCTTTTCTAGCTATAGTCAGGAAACTCCCACCAGACTTTTCCTTGATGAATCTGGGTAAGAACATGGGGCAAGATGCTGATGGAATCTATGAATCAGTTGTGAGTGATTTTTAACACAGTGTGGTGCACTGAATTTACTTCATATGTTTCCTCTAGCCACAGTCCTTGTGATTCCCACCAAATAACTGGGTGGGAGCATGTGAATAGGGTGTATGGGACTCTAATGTTGGGATTGGTTAGTTTTGCTATCCTGCTAGATTTAAAGTCAGTCATCTCAGAAGCAGGAACAATTGATCCCAGGACCATAAAGAAAGGAGCTATGAACAAAGAGTGAGATCCCAATATATGTGGCAGAGGCGGCAGCATGGAGAGACAGTGCAGCTCTGGGCTTCTTGTTCCATGGATGGAATAAAGCTGAGTGCCGACAGGCAGAAGGCTGGCTTGCAGAATGTGCCCTTTGGGTATTCGCAGACTGCCTAAAGGAGCTTTGTAACATTTGCCAGAGGAGGACAGAGGCCAAAAGTTCACATGGCTGAGAGACCAAAGACGAGCAAGGCATGCCTGCAGTACAGCAGAGGAGAGCTGCTGCATCCTGAGTTTTTCTGATCCTGAATTGTAACATACTCACTTCCCTAATAAACCCCATAGTTGTGAGTACTGTCTATGAGTTTTGTGTGGCCATTGCAATAGATTATCACATTCAGATATGAAACAAAGAGTGCTGTCAAAAGAGGGGAAAGAAGGTTGTAGGATGGAGCCATGTCTGACCTCTGCTTCATAGGAATCAGCCTTGGGCTGATTTTGAGTTTGATTTTCCTTCCCCCTTGTGAAGCCAGAGGAAGTCAGATATGGCCTCTTTGCCATTTTTTGCATAGGACTATTGTGATTGGTCACTGTGCCATTGTTCTGGGTAGCATTTTATAGCACTTTGTGTAGGAGGCTTGATTGCAGAGTGGGGTGCCTCCAGACAATTAACTGGGGGAATTAGGTTTGCTGATCCATGGAGTGCCTGCAGTACAGCAGAGAAGAGCCCTTCCTGACTGGAGAACTGCTGCATCCTGAGTTTTTTCAGATCCTGAATTGTAACCTGCTCACTGAGTGTAACCACTCCACCATAAACTTCAGGCTGAAGTTTATGGTGGAGTGGTGTGCCTTGTGACTATTTATCAGCAGCTTTAAAAGAGCTATGTAACATAGCCTGAGCAGGGCAGAGGCCAAGCCGAGGAGCCCAAGGCCAGAGAGAGACTTGTCTGTGGGCATGGCAGAGAGGCTGTCCTGAATGGAAGGAACTGTTTCCTGAACATTTCTGTTGCTTAATTGTAATACTTTAACTTCCCTAATAAACCCCGTAATGAAGAGTATGGTATCTGAGCTCTGCATAGCCACTGCAATGAATGATCAACCCAGCAGAGAAGTAGAGAGTGCTGTAGGTGGCATGGTTGGTGACATTTTTTTTCCAATGAGAGACGGGAGTCTCCATCATGGCTTCTCAGGAGCATTCTGGTTGTACTTCTTCCAAGACAGATCTGTTTGTTCTTCTGGCAGTCCATGGTAGTTTCAATATTCTTCTCCAACTCCATAATTCAAATACATTGATTCTTCTATGGTCTTCCTTATTCATTGCCCAACTTTCACATGCATATGAGGAAACTGAAAATACCATGGCTTGGGTCATGCACACCACTGACGGATATAAGGTGTATGAAATAAGGTGTATTAAAATCTAATGAGAGGATTGGTCAACTTTGCCACCCCAGTGTGTATAAAATGCACCATCTTAGAAGCCAAAACAGGGGGATCTTGTTACCATGAAGAAAGAAGAACCGGGAGTGGAGCATGCTATTTGGACCCTGAGATCCCTGCATGTTGAACCTCCTCCATCCAGGAGACAGAGCTGTGACACCAGAGGAGTGGTGGAGAAGAGGTGGCAACAGCAGAGGCAGAAGTACCAAGAGCACAAGACAGATCAGTGGCCTTTTTGGGCCACAGAACCAGTAAAGCTGAGAGCCTTTGGGCAGGAGACTCGGCTAGCTGAGTAGAGTGTCTCCAAGGCACTAAGCTGAGTAAACTAGGTTTGCTAATCTGCAGAACTAGAGCTGAGCACATTGTGGTTGAAACTTATGGGGGTATGGTGTGCCTTTGGGTATTATGGGGGTATGGTGTGCCTTTGGGCATTTATGTTGTTGTTAAGTGCCGTAGAGTCAGTTCTGACCAAAGGGTTTCATTTATGGGCAATGTTAAAAAGCTTGTACAACACTTGCTCAAGCATCCAAAAGAACTGCATCCAGAGCCATTTCTGATCATGAATTGTAACCTGTTAACTTCCAAAATAAACCTCATAATCGTATTGTCTGTGAGTTCTGTGTGACCATTGTAATGGATTCTTGAATCCAGCAGAAGTAGAAAGTGCTGTGGGAAGGACAGTTGATATCAGAATTAGTATAGAAAGAAGGAGGGTGTAGGCATGCCTGACTTGTCATCATAGGAATTGCCTTGGGCTGAGGAGTTTGATTCTCCTTCCCTGTTGTGAATGGCTTCACATTCATTGTCAAAAGAATATTTTAAGATGAGAAGTTCAATTTGTATTCCATCAAATCTTTATTTTTCTTCAATGCTTCCAGTGCACTTTGGAGTTTGCTTCAAAACCATTGGTTCTTGAAATGGAAAGAATATACAGAGTCACTATATTTAAAAGGGCTTGAAATGGTAGCACATCAACCAGCCCTTTTTAGTATAGCAACTCTGTGTATTCCTTCCATCACCTTTTGATGCTTCTTTCATCATTTAATATTTTGCCCATAAAATCTTTCAACATTGCAAATTGAGGCTTAAATTTTTTCTTCAGTTGTAGAAGTGCTGAACATGTTCTTCTCTTTTGGTGTTCAAATTCTAGGTCTCTGCACATTTCATTATAATACTTGACTTTGCCTTTTCGAATTATCCCTTGAAATTTCTGTTCAGCTCTTTTACTTCATCATTTCTTCCAGTTGCTTTAGTTTCTCTATGTTCAAGAACAAGTTTCAGAATCTTCTCGTATATCTCCCTTTGTCTTTTTCTTCCTGTCTTTTTAAGGATCTTTTGATTTCTCCCTGTGTGATGTTCTGGACAACATCTCACAACTCTTCCAGTCTTCAGCCGTTAGTGTCCAAGACATCAGATCTGTTCTTGAGTATGGTCTCTAAATTCAGGTGGGATATGTTAAAGGTCAGGAGTCCTGCTGTAGCACTGTGGGTTAATGTGCTGGACTGCAAAGTCAGTTTGAACCACAAGCTCATCAGCCACTCCTGGGAAACCCTATACAGGGTCACTATGGGGTGGAACTGACTCAATGGTACTTAACAACAACATGTTCAAGGTCATATTTTGGCTCTCACAGACTTGTTTACTTTTCTTCAGCTTCAGCCTGAACTTACATGTGAGCAACTGCTGGTCTGTTCCATAGTCAGCTTCTGGCCTTGTTTTGACTGATGATACTTTGACTGAAGCAAAGGATAAGCTTCTTCATTATCTCTTCACACAGTTGTAGATATTTTGATTCTTGTGTATCCCATCTGGTTAGGTACACACATATAGTTGCCTTTTATGTTGTTGAAAAAAGATGTTTTCAATGAATAAGTCATTGGTCTTGCAACATTCTATCATGCAATCATTTCTATTACCAAGGCCATATGATCCTTCCTCTTTGTTTTCAACTTCTGCATTCCAGTCACCAGTATTTATCAATGTATATTGATTGCACGTTGGATTCATTTCAGATGGAACAAGTTGTTTTTGGTGGTGGTTGTGTACCATGGAGTCGGTTCCGACTACTAGTGACCCTACATATGGTTTCTGAGGCTATACATTTTTATAGGAGCATGAAGTCTCATCTTTCTCCTGCAGAGAAGCTGGTAGATTCGAACTGCTGACCTTGTGGTTAGCAGCCCAACTAGTAACTCACTATGCTACCAGGGCTCCTTGAAGAAGTTGGTAGGATTGTTCAATGTCATTAATTATCTTTGGCTTTAGTGATTGTGTGTATATTTGAGTAATAATCATTCATATTAACTTGAAGGAATATTGATATTATGAATGCAACAGACAGCATTGTACTTCAAGATAAATCTTGAAGTGCTCTTTTCGACAATGAATTCACCACCATTACTCCTGAATTTGTCATTCCCAGTATAGTAAACCATATGATTGTCCAATTCAAAATATTCTGTACTACTCCATTTCAGTTCACAAATGCCTAGGATAGTGATCTTTATGTGTTCCATTTCATTTTTGATGACTTTCCGTTTTCCTAGATTCATATTTTGTATATTGCACATGCTGATCACTAATGAATTCTGCAGCTCTTTCTTCTTATTTTGAATTGTGCTCCTTGTGCAAAGGAAGGTCTTGAAATCTGCTCCATCCATGACATTAAAGCCAACTCTACTTTGAGGCGGCAGCTCTTCTTCAGTCATATTTGAGTGCCTTCCAACCTGATGAGCTTATCTTCTGACACCTTATCAATGTTCCACTGCTATTCATTAGGTTTTCAGTGGCTAACCACTCAGAAATTGTTTGCCTCTCCTTTTTCCTAGTCTTAGTCTGGAAGCTCTGTTCAAACCTGTTCACTATTTAAAGTACAGATGACATAGCTTTCAGCACTATAGCAACACAAGCCACCGCTGTACGAAAAACTGACCAAAGAGTGGTGGGACAGATACTTCATATGAATTAATTTCTTAAATATTCCATTAGCACTTTATACCTATTATTTAATTTTAACAACAATCTAATGAGATTGGTCTATTAAAATCCTTCTTTTATAGATGATAGAATTGAAGTACAGAGAAACTTTCTCCAAGTCCTAGAGCTTATGAGTAATGGAGCCAGGAGTTGAAGCCTACTGGTGTGATACCAGAGTTTGCACTATTAATCACTAAGCTATATTGTTTTTTCACATTATAGGTGAGCGAGACTACTGACTATTCCATTATTTCAAATTTTTAACAGTAAGAAGAAACCCAAAATCAAAAGTTGCTTATCTTGTCTAAGTTAAGCAGCCTTAAAATGGGAAGCTATTGCAATGATAATGGAGCTCTAGTGACTCAGTTGTTAAATGCTTGACTGCTAACTGAAAGGTCAGTGGTTCAAACCCACCAGAGGCTTTGTAGGAGAAAGCTGTGGAGTCTGCGTCCGTAGAGACTCACTTTGGAAATTCTGTGGGAGTGTGCTACTTTGTCCTATAGGGTCACTACTAACTGAGATTTGACTTGATGGCAAGGGGCTTGGCTTTTTGGGATATTGCAATGATAAGCACGACAGTAGCATTGATGTATCTAATTGTGATTAGAAGAGGTTCTGTTAACAAATGTCTTTGTCCTTCGTGACAAAAAGCTTACAGGATACTGCCATCTCACAGTAAAGAAAAAGTCTTCTTAGAAGGCAAAAAGAGGAAGGTTCTGGACGTTTCTCACCGTGAGACCTGCAATTCCAATACCGACAATTCCGATGAGCTGGAGCTTAATGCTGATTATGGTCTCAATTTCATCAATGCAATTCTATTGTTAAAAAAAAAAAAAAAAAGACAGGAAAGAAAGAAAAGAAAAGTGGATGTCAGAAGAGACTCTGAAACTTGCTCTCTAACAAAGAGATGGCTAAGGCAAATGGAAGAAATGAAGAAGTAAAAGAGGTGAACAGGAAATTTCAAAGGGCAGCTCTAGAAGACAAAGTCAAGTATTATAATGAAATGTGCAAGCCCTGGAGTTAGAAAACCAAAAAGGAAGAACTTGCTCAGCATTTCTCAAGTTAAAAGAAGTAGAGAAAAAGTCCAACCTTGAGTTGCAATATTGAAGGATTCTATGGGCAAAATATTAAATGATGCAAAAAGCATCAAAAGATTAAAGGAATACACAGTTACTGTACCAGAAAGAAATGATCAATGTTCAACCATTTCAAGAGGAGTAGATGATCAAGAACCGATGTCACTAAGAAACCCAAGCTGTACTGAAGGTATTGGTGAAAATGAGGCTGTAGGAACTGATAGAACACAAATTGAAATCTTTCAACAAATTGATGATGTGCTGGATGTGTTCATTGAACCCTGAGAAAAAATTTGGAAACCATTTGGAATAGTTCCATAGTTGTGCCTGTTTCAAAGAATGGTGACCCTATGGTCTGAGAAAATCATTGAACATTATCATTAATTTCACATGCAAGTAAAATTTTGCTTAGGATAATTAAAAAATGGTTGCAACAGTACATCGACAGTGAGCTGTTAGAAATTCA